AGCCCGGCCTTTACCTCAGGAACACGCCTGAGCGGGCAGCGGCGCTGCTCCAAGGTGTCCGGCCGGGTTACCCCCCGTCCCCGGCTCGCCTCCAGCGGGGACCCGCTCCAGGCGGGGTGGGTGTGGGTGGAGGGGGTTTGTGTCTGTCTCTGGGTGGGATCAGCAGCGAACCTGAAGAGGAATTGCTGTTTGGAGTTAACGTTTTAAAACCTCTCAGGGTAATTTGCCTTACACCTCGTTGAAACGCTCCTCCTAGCTCGGGTGGCAGAAGGAATGCTTTTCGAGTCCAGACTTGGCCTGAGTCCCAGTAGAAACCACACACTGGTGAGCAATTAGTCTTAAGACGGTCTCCAGACAGCAGAGCCAGGCTCGATGCAGTGCAAGGCCTGTGCTGTAACATCATTCTGCTTGAGCAGCCCTGTGCAAGCTGTGTTCGAGGAACAGAGTGATGCAGGGAGCTACTCTGGGGTGCACATCCCATCAGGAAGAAAGTTTGAGATCCTGCAGCAGATTATGAGCTTGCTCTTACTTTCACTTACTTGTTTCTCACTGGAAGGACAGTGCCTGAAGTGTTTTGGACAAAATAGCATGATTTTTTTTTTACACAGTGTTCACAGTGGTAGCTGTCAGTGACAACTGGCTGGCGGAGGTCCAAGGAAGGTCCAATACTCTAGAACATCAAGGAAGTTTGTGATTTCTTTTCAGGTCCATTATTGCTATTCAAGAAGGATAATTTTACAGTTTTGCTACTCTTTCGTGACTCACTGCTTTACAAAGGGATATTCATTGCAAAACAGTAACAGAATTACCAACTACTTTGCAACCCGATGTAAGCGTTCAGCCTAAACCCAAAGTCAGTCCTTAAGCAGTGCAGTTCCAGGAAAATGTAAGCTTTTCCTTACCTGCACAAAAAGCCTCAAGCACTGGCTAGTCCCCACAAGGAACTGTCATGGTCAGGTTATGTTGGTACCTGGACTTTCTTCCACTGACACGCTGCTCTTAAGCTTACCCAGCTGTTTGGAGTGGAGCACTGATCTGACACTGGCAAGCAGGGCTCTGGCTGGGCTGGTATTTAGCAGCTCTACCTCTGTTTCAGGGAGAGGTCAGGGGAGTTTTCTTTTTCTGCTTATGTGAGCCTGTCCTCATAGTGTGTTTCTCAGCCTTGATCCCACACACCGGAGGTTAGAATGCTTGTGAGGGGCCCAAGTGCAGTTCTCCTCCCTCATGGGGTGGAGTTGAAATGACTATCTAATTCCCGAGCATCAGGCAATGAAATACTTTCAAAGTACAGAGGGCTGAGAGCTCTTTCATTTGGTATAGTGTAACTCATGCACTTATGGGAACTAGAAATGGAGCCTAGGTCATGGTCTCCTGGTAAGGTAGCTGTGATAAAGCATTTCTCTAAATGCCTTGTTTATGCGCCCTATTGCTGTTCAGGTATTAGGAATCTAGCTAGGCATCCAGCTGCTCTAGACTTGATGACAACTCTAAACTGTCAAGACATTATCAGATCTTTGTTATCAAGCATGTATTTATGTCTTTTTTTCAAAGAGACTGAGACCTTTGGGTATTTAGGCATTGCCAGGACTAGATGGAAGCTGAGCGGCAGTTTTGAAGACCTGCATTTTGGACTGGGGCACAAGGGTTCTCCTGTGAGTCCAGGCCCTAGTAGAGCAATGGCTCTTCCATATATACGGCCTGTTGACGATTCCACCCAACACAAAGGACTTCAGTGGAAAAGGCCAGGGATGCAGTCTCCCCTGTCATTGTTGTACTGTTTGTTTGTGCCTCTTTATTGATGCCTTTGGGATTATGGTTAAAGTTTCCACTTTGTGGTGCAATTATGTACTTTGAAGTTTAGACAAGAATAAATAAGCCTGCGTGTAAACAGATAAAACCTTGGCTTAAGGATGAAGCACTCTGTTAGTCTGTGACTCTCTCCTCTTACTAAATCTGCTTTGTTTTTCTGGGACCCTTTAGTGATAAGAGTACAGTGTTAGCTTTGTTTCCAGCACCAGGCAAGCTCACATCAGATGCTGGGTTCACACTATGGCATGTGACTGCCCTTGGTGTTAGTGAAATCTGAAAGGATGAAGTGTTTTATCCCAGTGCCATTATCTGGTGGGCTGGCTTCAGCCACCTGCTTCTGGGGGCATTGACCAGGACTTAACCATCCAACAGAGGTCATGGTCTCATTGGTTTGATTTTGACTTCAAAGGTAAGTTTTCAGGGCCAATAAATTATAAATCCCTGTTATAGTTTAACTGTTGTTCATAAAATTGGAATGGGTCTTGAAGTCAGTCAGCATTCTCTATAATGGATATATTGTGATTTGGCTAATGGTCGAAACAGAATTAGCTAAATATGGAAGTCAGCAGGCCTGGTGAAATATATGCTGGAATACATATTGCTGTTATAAGATTATATTTGTAAAGGCACAGCAGCAGAGGGCTCTGAAATGTCATAATAAGAGAGGTGAAGATAATGCTGGTGTCTCTGGGTTGGTGTTCTTGGGAAGCAACTCATTTGACATAGTACGTTTTCATGTCTGGCATGACATGGATGCTGTCACAAAACTCAACACCTGCTGAAGAGATTGCATCACTTCTAGGTTAAAAATGTATTTATTCAGGAATACCCTACATTTCTGTCTTGGCTGTAAAGCTCTCACGAGCTCTAATACTTTTAAATATATGTATATGATTTAGTAGATGCTTATTACCTTCTGTCATGGTTCTTTTCTGAATTGCTGCATACTCTTCTGGTAGTGTGCACTTTTTTTCATTCATGCATAGGAAACATAGCTGCATCAAGCCCAAGTATCTAGGTCTTGATTGCCCTTGTACTTTTACATTAATCCGATTGTATTTAGTAGTTTGGAATGGAACATTTTTAAATGCTAATTTAGAACATGCTTCCTGTAAGATCATCTTCTCAAATTTATCAGGAAACAAGAACTCCGAAATCATGGCAGGGAAACCCAAGCTTCACTACTCCAGGGTGAGGGGGAAGATGGAGTCAATCCGATGGCTGTTAGCAGCAGCTGGGGTTGAGGTTTGTATTTTTTTTTTTTAAGAAAGTGATCGGATTAAGCTGTCATTATAATAAGTATTCTCTGAAAAGGTTTCCCAGTTCCATCTATGCTTAGAGATATGCACAACATCACATGCTGTGGTACAGAATATGTAGGTTCAGTGATACACTCTCCCATGTTGTATATATTTAATGTATTCCTTGAGCAACAGTTGCCCCGTAAAAGGATCTTAACATACAAAGAGAATTTTTGAAATGTACTTTAAGATGAGATCTTAAATTGTTGCTGCAGACTAAAACTGTGTATCTCTGACTTCTTCTGAATGCTCATTACTTCTCTGTCCCATGATTGTTCTCCACTGAAAGACTGTGCGTACCACATGAAAAACTTAACAACATTATCTCCAGAGAAAGTGTTTTTCATTCTTTGGGTCAGGACCTGAGTAGGGTAAATCAGCAAAGCTGCCCTGAAGGCAGTGGGGGAGCTATCTAGATTCACATCAGGTGAAAACCATCCAAAGGTGTCTTAATTTCTACATGCAATTTTTGTTTGAATACGGTACTTTGAAATGATTTTCTCAGAAACTATTTATACTGCATTGGAAATAAAAAGCTCTTTTAACGGTGCTCACTTGTGAATGTTGCTGACAGAGAAGCTATAGAACACGAGTGCTGAGGAAAACATCTTGCCCTCATTCAAATGTCCTTCTCATTTAAAAACCAAAAATGCCAGCAGGGGGAAAGAGCGAAATAAATGCAGTGTAACAGAGGCATAACTTATTAAAAATTTCTCAGTATTTCACGTGGAATCAGCTGCTTTTAAGTGAATTATTTGGTGTCTGGCAATTGTTGATGCAGGCAAGTAGACTGGTCTTTATGATGAAGGAAGCTGTTTTTGAAGTGTCAAGCATTATTACTATGGGGTTGGGGACACTAGTCCTGGGTTATTTGCTGGAGCAGAGATGAAGAATAGGAGTAGGGGGTCAACACAATCATAAGAAGTATGGGGAATAGTGTGGAGAGATGGCATCTGACTTTCAGACTCCCTTCAACTTCCCCATTGCCTTTGGAGTGAGACAGTGTTGTATTCTATCTTTGTTTTCAGTTTGAGGAAGAATTCATAGAAACGAAGGAAGACCTAGAAAAATTACGCAGTGGTGAGTCTGTAAATTGTACCCTAAATATAAATTAATGCCAATATAACAAAAGAACAACAAGTGAGATTTTTGTAAGACCTCCAATATGATGTGACCTGTAAAGAGAAGATTTGAGAGACCTGCTTGCTTGTGGATGCTTTCATCCATCAAAATTGGAAATGTCTTGGTGTGTTACCTGGTGCCTTTCTCAGATTCAATGTAGTACTGCAGCAGTATGAGTAGGTTGCTTCATTTTCTTCCCTAGATGGAGTCCTGCTTTTCCAGCAAGTGCCTATGGTGGAGATTGATGGGATGAAGATGGTGCAGACTAGAGCCATCCTCAGCTACATAGCAGCAAAGTACAACCTCTATGGGAAAGACCTGAAGGAGAGAGCCTGGTATGGTACCAGTGCATACTGTCCTTACTAATACTGTTCCATGATTTTTAATATTTATGAGAAAAATATTGCTGTGAAATATCTGCATGTGAAGGTGCATATACATCTGCCAGTGCTTTGTCTCCTCAGATCCAGGGATTGGGTGAATGGACTTTATGACTGATAAATGATCGTTACATTGTCAACATAGTGAGAATGTTATGGCTCATTTGATTTCACACAGACCAGAAGTGCATTATGTTCTGGGCAACTGCATGGCCTTAATACAATAATAAAGGCTAAATATGCCTCTTTTTTTTTCCTCTTTAAACTGGAAAACAGTAGGAAAGACTACAGCTGCCTGCAAAAAACCGAAGTCTCTTTAAGTGTTCTAATTTCTTTTTTTCCAAATGTAAAGAATCTTTCATAGCTGATTTTAAACAAGACATGTTTGGGGGCTTAATGCTACTGAAAGTTAAACCAATATTTTCCTAATGTTACTTTAGTATGTAATACTTTAGTATGTGAGCTGTGGGTAGTTTCCATTGTCATAATTAAAGGGATAATGCAAAAGCAAAAATCCTTTACTCTTTCTTTAAAAAAAAAAAAAAAGTCATGCAAAACTTCAGTTAAGTCATTAATCTAACTGACTAACACTTACTGTAAAGGATTTATTCTGTGATATAATGTGAGATGGTGGGGCTTATTATGGGCAGGCATGCCTGAATGGGCAATTGGCAGCCATTTGTTGTCGAGATCTTCTCATGATTAGACCTGAAACTGATTTCTTCTCTAGTGTGGTTTGCGTATGTGGTTGTCCTGGGTTCAGCAGAAACAGAGTTAACTTTCTTCATAACAGCTAGCAAGAGGCTGTGTTTTTCTTCCACAGCATAGATATATAGGTTACCAGTGAAAAACAGTATGAACTCCACTTTAAATATATTAAGTTGCAGACTCTTATTTATACCTTGCTTGTTGCAGACACTGTGAGCCTATTCATAAAGATCTGTGCTTTGAAAAAACTGACCTGGAATCAGAGTGGAAAAACAAGAAAACAAACTAGTGTCTTATGTTACATTCACTAATAAGCATTTTTCTCAGTGATCACATTGGCGTTGTATTTCAGGAAAATAACTAAAATGGAATAATAAAAATATTTGTTTCAGGATTGATATGTATGTGGAGGGAACAACAGACCTGATGGGAATGATCATGCAGCTTGCTTTTCAACCAGCTGACACAAAAGAAAAGCATCTTGCCTTAATCATTGAACGAGCTACAAAAAGATACTTTCCTGTTTATGAAAAGGTGAGTGATAAATCACCAGTAGTCCACTAATAGTCCACTAATAAAGTGCAGTACAGGTTCCCCCCCACCCCACTCCCCTGACCCCACACAC